GGATGGATGGATGGATGGATGGATAGTTGACACGCCATTGGCTGGCAACCAATCAGGGAGTTCCATTTATTTTCCTTGGCGCTGATTGGCTGGATCCCGAAGAGCAAAAGCAGCTTTTGCTGTGCATATTAAGGTATATGTGGTGTTTGAACTATAAAAATAGGCACCTATAAGCGTTTTACAGGGGATCCCAAGTATTTGTAGGTTATATCTGTTGCAGGCAGCTGTGGTCCCTGACCTTCATAAATACCGGAGGCCCACTGTAATGAAACAGTTTGGCATCTCATCCTTTTGTTTATCTTAGGCTCAAATAAACATTTTGACTGTGATGCACAAGAATAAACCTCACCTGAATACCTCCATTCATAATGAGTGGTTCAGCACGATAGCCAAGTATGCACCATCCCAGAACTCAAGCAGATAGAGTGGTGGTGGAGGCAAATCCTTTGAGCTGTCAAAGCCAATCCCATGTGTTATGACCACCCTGCTCTCTGCTAAACTCTCCTTGGTACCATTTATCTCAAAATGCTGCCACTTAAACATATTTTCCTCCAAATTCTGTATACAAACTGTCAAACTTGAATGTGAGCTCGTAAACACAACCGCTGAATGGTATAATGCTACAGGATGTAGTGTCCGTTTGCAGCTGAAATTCTGCATGGTTCCTGTGCTTCATGAGCGTAGAAATCACAAGCGGACAGCTTTTTTTTTTTTTTTTTTTTTTTGCTGTAAACACTGGAGGAAATGTCAGTAATAAGAGGGATTAAAAAAGAGAAGAAGGGGAGAGAAACATGGCAAGTGGGAGAATTTCTGTACCTTGCCTAAGCATGTTTATCCAGACCTGTCTTAAACATTTTCCTCTTTCAGCCTGATCACCCCTGCCTGCTATGACATTCTGCATAGAAAAACACAGATTGCAGCCTCCTCGCTTTCAGATCCCATGACATTCTGCAGCCCACTCATGTAAATTACACAGCTTTAAAAATATCACTGGCTACAGGTATATCGCACATTTAACCGAAAAGGACTCAAAGAGAAACTAAGACAGGGAGTTTTATAAAGAAGACGAAATTTGTGTGGAGAGAAGGCCAATGTTTTCCACCATCTATGACTGGTTGGAGTTTGTCTGCAGTGGCACAACGCCCCACTATCCTCTCAATTTAACCCTTTATGCGTCACGGCCCAGAATCGCAGCCTGGTGTTGTTTCCGTGCCGACAGCTCATAAAACGGATAATGTGGACATCCAGACGAGTCTGATGAGAACCCTTCAACTATAATGCAACAAGTCTACGTGTGTATGGGAACAGAGTGGGAAGAACCCGCTTGTAAAACCACTGCAGCCAGAATATAAACTGTTTTACTCATCACAGATGGCACTTGAAAACAAAATCTATCCGTCTGTCCATTTGGACGAATTTGTCAATAATTGGTACTTATATAAACTCCTGTGTTTTAGTGTTTTCATGCATTTTTAGATAAACAGCTAAGAGTGTCAAAGTCTGTCCAATTCCTGCAGCCTTCTCGGTCCAAACTGTTATTTCTCCAATTCGAACAGCCCATCTCTTTAGCCAAAGTCAGTTTTTGCACAAATCCAACTTCAAAAGAGCTCCATATATTGGAGGGGGTTTTTTTGTTGTTCTTGTTCTTGTACCAATTTCCTAAATTGGATAAAAATCTGCTGCCATTTTCAGAATCATTGAAGGTCTCAGTCTGTGAAAACATGGAGAGACATCCAGGTACTAAAACACTACATATGATCGGGAGATCAGATTTATCTGTCTGAAGTTGCACCATCATTAATTTCAGCTGGCCAAGGTTGGACACAAGGATGCAGAATACGCCAAAATTGTAAGAGAAACAAAATTTGTACACAAGAGTAGGCTTGTCACAATAACAAATTCTGCTGAACAATACATTTTCCCTGAAGTTATGTTGTTGCTTCGAGACCATTTTCAAATAATATGTCATAAAAATGCAAGTTCACTCTCTCAAAGATCAATAAACTTTAATTTCTAACGAACATGTGCATTGGAACTGGAAGACATTTTAAATACCCAAATAGATAAGCAAAACAACAAATATAACAAGTTGTTTATTGGCTAATTTTACTCCTAGCTTAAAAGCTACTTTTATTCACAGTGACAGACAAGAAGACCAGAACGAGTTGGTGTCTCACTTGGGAGAAGGATGTCAGGGTTTCTGTTTTGGACCTTGTATCTTTTCAAACTGGTTTCAGATATCTTGTAGATGGAAATTATAACGCAGCCTCCCTTTAGGTCGGTTTCTTGTTTCTGACCTTGACCCACCGAGGGTCTCCTCTGAGTGCCTTCACGACCTTGATGGTTTGCCACTACAACAAAGAAAGTTAGCTCCAAAAGGCGAAGCAAATTTTGTCACTATTTAAAGCAAGATTGCCATTTTATTTCTTTTGTTGCAGTCTGAAACTGACGGAAAGAAAAATACCACTGTAGAGTACAGCTTCTAAAAGCCCTTAAATTACTAGCCGAGAATAAGAGTTCAAGCTCTATTGAAATGTCGGATTGTACTCCAGTCCCTAAACTGTACGGGCAGATTTTCTGTGTTGTTGAAAGCATGCTCGAGTGAAGGCAAAATGAATTTCTTAAGATGTTGGCGGTGTGTGTTTTGAGATCGTAATGGTGGTGTAGGAGTCACTGTTGTTTTGTCAGCTATTAACAGATTTTGCTCTGTGTGCTGGCGTTTTATTGGCTGTATTATGTTCCCTAACAGGGAAACTCTCCTCATTTCACTGACTGCAACATGAGGCAGCTTGATCAATCTGCCCCTGTGGACGCAGGAAAACATTTACTAATGATAATCCCTCCATCATAGCAATATCTGTGCAGGTCTGGTTGCACGGCAGCTGCAGGTACCCCCGCTCTAGAGTCGAATATAAGGATGCCTATGTTGCCTTCTAATTCTATGATTTTTCTTCTCCGTCTGAACTTTATCTTCATATGAACAGAAAGAACTTGTTTACATGAGAAAGTGAGGAAACAGCTGCCGAAAATAAACTTTGCAGTCTTCTTGCTGCTTTTCCTGCTCTGTATCTATCAATTATTTCAATTTCCAGAGTGCTGGATGGCTGAAGAGAGGAGCTTATGGATTTGTTGAAACAAGATCACAAGTGTTTTTATAAAGCTTTTAGATTTTCACCACCCAGTGTTTCAGTGAATGTTATAGGCATATGGTAGCTAATTATTAGGAGAGCTTGGTCTCTGCCAACATGACTGTCAGATTATTCTTTTTTCCCCCCACTCTGTTTTACCAAACTGAATTAATGCTCTACTGATGAATTCAGTAAATTTTGAATTAAAGTGTGGTATCCATTCTAATGACAGAGGCTTGGCCTTTTTGCATACTATCACATTTATTGAACGCCGACACTTCAGCTGTGGCTCCATTTGTTTGTTTGTTTGTTTTTGTGTGTGTGTGTGTGTGTGTGTAGGGGGGGATGGCTGCTGTGGCTGGATGAGAGAAGGCTTCTTTCTGAAAGCAGCCCTGATGTGCTGATAAGTGATGCAATTTGGTGCCTGGTAACACAGAAAAGGATTTGACACGAGTTTTTCAAGTATTTATGAGAAAAATCAGATTTGTAAAATTGGTTTTTGTAATGCAGCTGCTACAAAGGTTGACTATTTGTTTGTTCACTTTGTTTTATTATGGACAAACAGCAAAAAAAGCCAAATTCACTTTTCACTTTACAAGAAGCATGACAGCCTTTGCTCGCAGCAAACAATGGAAGACCATCTCTCTTCGCAGACGTCGGGAAACAACTTTGAGGTGCAGAAAATCAGACTGAACACGTCTCCAGAAATTATTTGATTGGGCTGTGGAAACACCATCCTGGACAGTATTTTTAGGAGCCGTTATAACTTGAATACTAATATTCTGGTACTGAAAAAACACATTTTCATGACACGTCGCAGAGTAACGCAGCACAATAAGATCATTTAGTCAGATTTTCAAACTGATTTATATTTATTGAATCTCTCATATTTTTTTTTTAGGCAAACAAAGTAAAGTTTGAATAAAACAAACTAAACGTGGCTAGTGTGAACGCTCCCTTAGACTCTCCTCTGTGTTTCTGTCACCCAGCCTCTGATTGGCTGTCACATTCACACACCTTGCTCAAGCCAAGACAATCCAACGTGTTTAATGTTCCTGATTTTAGATCCGAGCAGTCCCAGCATCTTTCCAGATCACAATTAACACATGAAATATGCACATCTCATGAGATTATCTTAAGACCCATCCTGATAATTGGGGCGTCCTTAAGATTGTTGGAAAAGACATAAAATCACCATAAAATCTTGCCATGGACACAGCCTTAATCCCACTGCATAGCTGCTCTATGTGCTGTGTGATAAATCTACGGCTGGCCTGTACCATAAAATAGAAAAGCCTCACTGACACCTCTCACCACTCAACAGGCTGTGTTTGCCAAGATAAAGTTTTAAAACACCGTGTCTATACGTTTTAGAAGGAAGAAGTAGCAGCGCTCCATGTGCATCCCATTTATCCAACATATCTTGTTCCAGCGAGGGGCACTGCATTACTCTGTAGCTCAGAGGCTGCTTGTCAGGAGGGGCGGGGGAGATGAGAAAGGGGACGACAGAAGGTTGTGACTGTTCCTGTTGCTACTGCTACAGATGCTTTTCTTCTTAGCCAGGGAGCAAACACTACATGCTGAGATTTAATCACCTTTATTATGTTTCAACTTGTCACAAAGTGAAGCATGAAGCGACTCTGAGAAATCACACAAAGACAGCGATGCTGTCAGAGAAGTCACTGCTCACTTGTTTAACACAAAAGACGGCGGAGTGCTCGGAAACTGTGCGGCAGCTGCAGCGTGCGGCTCAGCCTCTCCCGTCTGAAGCTGCTTCAGCCTTTTGATTATTTGACCTTGATCAATAAGTGAGCCGTGTTTAGATGTTAGCCCAGAGCCTGCTGCCCATGCAGTATTTAACCACCCCGGTGTAATCCCTCTGAAGTCTTCCTGTTTGCTCTGACCAAGGAGAGGTAATTCCTTCCAGCACCTCGAGCTGAACGCGTCTGATAGATGAGTGGCTGGATTTCCTCCTTTTGCACACCGCTGAACACCATCATGATGTAATTCAGTGCAATTAGCAAAAGATGGCAGGAACACAAAGGACATAAAGGCACATAATCTGTTGAGGAATCTCATAACATCTATCATAGCACAAGACAGAGACTTACTGGAGGCAATTGTGAGGAAAAGGTTGACTTCAAGGTCTTTTATGTTTCTCCCGTGTGGTCTGGGTCGTCATGATGTACATGCAGAGATTCTCCTCTCTTAGAAGCAGAGTGTGAATTCCTCAAAGCAACGCACAGAGAGAGATTTAACACTGAAGTTAATTTAAGGAACAATTCATTTCCTCAAGTGTGTGACAGCGAAAGAGATAGTATGCATTTGTGCATGTCTACGTGTCAGTGACTCTGCCTTCCTTCCACCCACCCCTGCTGATTTCCACGGTGCGTTTAGCTACATTTTGTGAAACGGTGCCAAGCCAGCACTTAATTAAGTGCTGGGATGCCAACATCCCCCTGCTGTAACACGGAATACCTGATCCTCTTTTGTCAATTTCTTCTCCTGTTCTCGTGCTCCTCTGTGTCGCTTCTGCTGTAACTCGAAAAGATGTCGCCTCTGGGAGACGCAGGTAAAGAAGCCATCAAAACCAACGCGAGTAGAGAGAGTTGCAATCAGTGCACAAAAAAAAGAGAATAGTTTTTTTTTCTTCTTTTGTGTGGATCTGTCCTCCTTTTCCCCTGCCTCACTTTGTTTCCCTCTGCACCAGTTCGTGTGTACTTATATGTGTGTCTGTGCTTGAAGCTTTCAATTCAGTAGAGGCTAGCAGTAATGTTTCGCTCCCAGTAGAAATGGTTGCTGTTTGTTCAGTTGTTGTGATAGATTGATGTGGGGTGAGAAAAGATGGGCTTGTATGCACCTGGAGATAGGAACAGAAAAGTCTTTATGAGAAGCTAAAAGCTCGCTATTCAAGAATCCTCTGATGGAGATGCATTTTGCTGAAGGTTTTTCTCCCTTTTAGCAAAGTCTTTGACAAAAGCTTTCCAGTATATTTAGGCAGTTAGGCAAGAGACTTCAAAACCCCAAAAGGGCACTTGTCAACCACTGCTTACAGTAAGGGAGTGCTTCTGAAGGGTTTCAGCAAGTGGTCACTCTAATGGTCAATGGTTTTCCGCTTACACAGCATGCAAAATGGCCGCCTTCTAAAATAACCAAGCCCAGACACAAATTATTCGTTGCGTGGAAAGTTGTGGGTCAGTTTGTTGCCACGCGCAGATGTTTTGCCTCCTTTTTGTAGATAATTGTGGAGATAAACGGTGACAAAAAAACAATCTGAAATCACGTTTAGCTTAATGTCATCTTCTAAAGAGTTTGTTTTACACTAGCAGTGGCCAAATCCACCACAGCAAGGTGAAGTCTGAAATGTAATAAACATTTATTTAAAAAGAATCAACCCTTAATAATAATGACTGTTAACAGTTGAGTTAGAAACGCTGGAGGAAAAAGACAAATACCAATTTTTGTGACTTTATCTGACATTCAATGACTTTTTCTGTTAAATGTCAGATGTATTTTTATCAGGGCAAAAAAATTAGAGATTATTTTTAAACTGTCTGTGGTGGGTCAAGCATTTTGGGTTTCCTGCCCCAAACCTTTCACAATAGTTTGCTGGCATTTTGGCCTATACCTCCCAGCATTATTCATTTCTAGGTCTGTTAAAAAAAAACAGTATTATACTCCAAAATTGTAATACTCCCACCTAACATTCTTTCCAAAAATGATGCCATCTATTTTTGTGAAGTCCAGAACGCTGGTCATCATCTCAGTTTGTGGGACAAAACAAAACAAAAAGTCTCAAATGTTAAGATGCTGGAGTTCTTTGTCACCCTATTTCCATGAATTATGGTTCTTATCCCCATTGAGGCCAACTCTATTTAAGACATGGCACATTATTGACCCAGATAAACCCCAGAATATGCAACATCTAGTTTGACTAATTCATAAATCTTCAAAAAAAACATCCAAGGTATGAAATGAAGGGGGAAAATAATCAAAATCCCACTTTAGTATTTTTAAATCCAGATTGATCCAGTTTGTCTTTATTTACTTGTCCTGCTCTGTGAAGTCCCAGTTGGTCTTTCTACCCTCCCATCATCCTGTTTACTGGATTAAATGTAGTTCAAGATGAACGCCTCCAAAGACCGAGGCTCTGTTTTCCGAGCTCCTCTGAGAGGTTAAAGGCGACTGCTCGCCCAGAAATGAGGCTACAGCAGCTGGACTCGTAAATGATTGGCAGGAATAAATTGTGGATGATCTACTTTTATTTATTTTTCTTTAAAACTGTCCCAATTTTTTCCCCCCCATCAATTCTCCTTTTTTGTGTGCTGTGAAAGCTTGTTTTGAATGGAGGAAGGTTTCATAAGTCGTGCTCACAGAGTGAAGCGTAACCTGTGGACAGAACGAAATGAGTGCATGGATAAGTAGTTGTGATGTGTTTGGACACACTGCCAGAACACGTTAGCTCTCACGCTAGCATACAGCGGCGTAAACGTGCGCTTGGCTGGAAGAAGCAGAGAGACAACCGAACCTCGATTCATTTTCTTACATCTTGAACTGTCTTCCTGTTCCTCCTTCTGCTCCCTCCCTCCTCCTCTCTCCTCCTGTGCACCATCTGCATGATGCTTTGTATCCAACCCTGAAGAAGGGACTGCTTTCTGTTCGCCGCTGTGAATGCGGGATCTTGTTTGTGTACGTCTCCCAGCCATTGCTTTCGCTCTCAGCTCATTACCTGACATGATGGATGGAACGAGCGCTATTAACCAACGCCCAGCCTCGGACGCCTGGCACCTCACAGCAGAGCACTGAGTAATGGGCGCGTTGGCACCGGCACGCTTGGAAATACCAGGAGTCCTGCGTGGGTGTGCCTGCGGACGTCTTTGTGGCTCGGCTTCTTGGTTCCGTCCAGCCCCACCTGCCACCTGGCTGCCCGAAGGATGTCCTGGGCATTTCTGGGCAGCCGCGGTTGGATAGCAGAGGAAGAAATATTTGTATGACTTTGTCATGAACCTGGCAACACAAAATCCCCAGAGTGCAACTGTCGCTTATTTCTCACCCCAAGGAAAATGTTTGTCGCTGCTTATAGTGCCTGCAAAACTGTTACGCTTTAACTTTTAAGCATTTTCCACACAACCATAGATTGCAATGATTTTTTTTTCTTTTTCAAATCAGGATTTGGTGTTTTAGATCAACACGAAGGCTTTAATGTTTAGAAATAGAAATCTTGAATCTGTTCCCCTCTCAGATGAGACAGATTGATGTGTTGTTTTTTTTTTGATTTACATAAAAAATATCATCAAACCCCTTTAGAAAACCTGTTTGACCTTCATGTGGTTGGAAAAGGTTTAGATCAGGGTCTGCAACTCCGGTCCTCCAGTGCCTTTGCCCTGCAACCTTTGAAGGTCTCCCTGCTCCAAAACACTGGAATTACATGAACTTTCCAAAAGTTGCTAAGGAGAAAATTCAACCTTTTGATTCAAGTGTGTGGGAGCAGGGATGTATCTGAAAGAAAATGGATGTGTTTCTATTATGTGAATCTTAAGCAAACCTTTTACATGTTGCAAAAAAGAAGGAAAATACTAATTAGGTGTGTTTCCATCTACTGGTTTGGAGCAAATCAAACAGGCTCCACAGAGAGTGGGTGTAATTAACAAGACATAGAGGTTGCAAAATAACATGGACCACACATCGCAAAGCTGGAGGTTTGGATTTAGATATTTCTCAGAGTTTCCTGCCTCCAGTGAAGCAGAACCACCAGTGGCTGGGAAAGTTTGCAGCATCAGAACTTGTTTGGCAAATATGTTTCCATCTCTCTTTTTTTTTTTTTTTTTTTTTTTTTTTCAAAAAAGCCAAAAACCCCCCAAAGGGAGAAAAAAAATTTTTTTTT